AAACTTATAAGCATGGCTGGTTTAAGTTTGAAAATACATCTAATACGTCAGTTAGTGACAGTCGAGACAAACCAAATACCTTCTAAACTTTACACCCATTTATAACTGTTGGTCTTTATATTTTAAAACCAGTATAAAAATGCCACTAGCAAATATACACATTTTTGGTAGTTTTATCACTTATAATATAGTTAGTTAAGTATGAAAACAGTTGTTAAAATCAAACCAAGTGGATTTAATTCATGAAGGACTGATTTGATAACACGTCCTAGATGCATAAACAAAAGCAGAGAAAACGCTTGAAATAAACACACCTCAGGGGAGCAGGAGACTCGCCTGTTTCTCCTCTTTTGTGTTTAAACGCCGCCTAAATGAGCAGGCATGAGTCCAATTAAAAGCTCCTCGCCGAACAAACTTAACAGCCCTAAAACGCCTCTTGCGTGTAAAGCCACTGTGTTGGCGTTAGCGGCGGCAGTGGAAACAGAAAACAGAGCGTTTCAGCGCCGACACGTTTGGCAGCGACTCAGTTAAAAGTTTGTCTTGGAGCAGATGGTGCTTCGGCTCAGACTCTGTATCTCTGAGAAGACTCAGAGCTAGGAAACATAAAGAAAGAATTTTTTTTAATTCTTCCAAATAAATTTAAATTCTGTTGTTTTAGATTAACATGTTTGAACGCTGCGATTACAGGAAGAACATTTTTGCAGCCTCTCTTTTCACCTGACTCATGAGCAGTGACATGTGCTCCTGTTATTTTTGGACAGACTGCTGCTCAGCATGTCCCGTCACCTTACCTCCACCTTGACCCTGTTGTCTCCGTAGCACAGGTGCTGCAGGTAGGCTGCGGCATTGGCCTGGACGGAGGGGAAGTGATGCTGCAACATGTGGATGACCTCTGGCAGCTCGGGGTCGCGCCACGCAAACTCCCTGAGGAGAGACAAAGAAGACACTTAAAATACAGCAAATACATTATCCATGTTCACTAACAATCTAGATTTATTATGAGCTGCTTTACAGCTTTCTAATTTATATATATATATATTGTAGGGGGATGGGGGGTTAAAGTGGAATTAGGGTTGAGGAGGTGGGATTGGCATTATTCTTAAAGTTTAACCAGCAATAATTAGTTTTTTTTCCAATACAAGATTATCTTTGTTAAAAACTTCAGCATAAAAGGCTGTAGGTGATATGCATTCCTTAAAGCCTTTAGTGTTAAATCCAAGGCCTGCGGGCCAAGTGTGGCCCACCACAGCCATTTATGTGGCCAAAGTGAAAGCTTCAAAAATGTATTAATATCTTCAAATAAGTGCATACTGCTTTAAAGCCAGCATTGACCTGGAATTACATCTTCCATTATGCATGTCTATTATTTTACCCATAAAATGTCGACATTTGACCACTAGGCGGAGGTGCACAGGGTTCAAAGGGTTCCAGCTATTTTTTTTTTGTTTTGTTTCAGCCCAGTTACACGGAGAAGTGAGGATTTCACCGTTGCAAGTTGTAAATTTAAACTGGAATGCCCCACCAGTGATAACTTCCTGTTAGAAATTGGAAGCATTCAGAATTCAAGATGGCGGCTACTCTCCACAGCTCAACAGTGAGTAAAATTCTCTTACTTTTGCTTTTAAAGGACACATATCACACTCTTAAATTCTTCTTTCTAACATTTATTCATTTAGTGGAACTGCAATATTTTGGTCTGAATTCCTGAATCTACTGAGTCTACTGGGTCTTCTGAATCTACTGGGTTGTCTGAGTCTGGTCCCGAGTTTCCTGAGTTGATGGTCCCAGTTCCTGAGTTGGTGATCCCAGTTCCTGAGTTGGTGGTCCCAGTTCCACAGTCGGCGGCCTCTGTGGTTCCTGAGTTGGTGGTCCAAGTTCCACAGTCGGTGGTCCCAGTTCCTGAGTTGGTGGTCCCAGTTCTACAGTCGGTGGTCTTGGTGGTCCCTGAATCAGTGGTTCCGGTGATCCTGGAGTTGGTGGTCCCGGTGGTCCCTGAGTTGGTCGTTCCAGAATCAGTGGTCCCGGTGGTGGTTCCAGAGTGGGTGGTCTCAGTGGTGGTCCCATAGTCAGCGGTCAATGAGGTTCGTGGGTCGGCTGCCGGCCCCTCCACGTCATCTGGGTCGGTTGCTGTTGCCTCCTCATCGCCTCTGTCGCCTGCGTTCACTGTCGCTCACGCTCTGGCTCTGTCAAACTCCGCTGGCTCTTTGTCTGCTCCCGTCTCCTCCCTTAAATCTTTGTCTGCTCCCGTCTCCTCCCTTGGCTCTTTGTCTGCTCCCGTCTCCTCCCTTGGCTCCTTGTCTGCTCCCGTCTCCTCCCTTGGCTCCTTGTCTGCTCCCATCTCCTCTCTTGGCTCTTCATCTGCTCCCGTCTCCTCTCCTGGCTCCTTGTCTGCTCCCGTCTCCTCTCTTGGCTCTTCATCTGCTCCCGTCTCCTTCCTTGGATCTTTGTCTGCTCCCGTCTCCTCCCTTAGCTCCTTATCTGCTCCCGCCTCCTCCCGTGGCTCAATGTCTGCTCCTGCCTCCTCCCGGGGCTCAAGTTCTGCTGCTGTTCCTGCGGGGCCATGCTTTGGATGGTCTCCTGGCCGTCCTCCAGACCTTCTGCTTTGTGTGGGGCGGTCTCCTGGCCGTCCCCCTGAATTTGTGTATGTTTTGTTTTGAGTTCCCCTGTTTTGTGTTCATGATTCCCTGAGTCCTGTACCTCTCCCTTTTTCGACGTCGGGAGCCGTCGTTAAGTGGGGCGGGTACTGTCATGATCTGTGTTTTTGTCTTTATTTTCTTAGTGTTTTTCTGTTCCCCTGTGTTTTCCTCTCCATGCTGTTTTACCTCCAGCCCCACCCATGCACACCTGATTCCTCTCGTGTCTTCCCAGGTGTTTCTCTTTTACTCTTAATTTGTTTGCTTTATTTTCTGGGTCTTGTCATTTGTCTCTTGTCCGATCATTGTGTTTCATCCCTGTGCTTCGTCTCCCTCGTGCCTGTTCCTCCAGAGTGTCTGTGAGTAATTTTGAGCTGCTTCGACAGCCTTTTTTGTTTATTAATAAACCTTTTGTTCCATTTTTGAACCTGCCTGTGCCTTGGGTCTGTTCCTGTATTATTTTTGACATTAGCCATAACAACGTCAAACCTTAGCTCAATATATGTAGAATTCACTGAGATATACTAGTCATTTTTGTGTTTGCTATGGTCAATAAACTGGCCACCATCTTAAATGACGTCAACTCCAAAGGTTAATCAGTTGTAGATGTACATCCAATGATTATTTTGAGAGTTTCAACTAAATTTGTCCAATGTTTTATGAGATATTTTGTTTTCAGACAGACAAAAGAACATAACTTTTATGGCAGTAGGCAGTTATTACAAAACCTGTTAAAGTGAAAGCACAAATGTTCTTCCACTTCCTGATAAGTTTAACTATTACAAATGCAAAACGTTGGGAAAATATGGACAGAATAAAAAGTAAGACTAAAACATTTAAACAAACTCATTTGAACAAACAGCTCCTGTTTTTTTCAAGCTAGACCATTAGAGTTATCCAACATACACTGAATCAAGCTGTTTCCAACTGCTTCTAACAAGAAAACAGTAAAAATATTTTTAATTGGTAAAAAAATTAAATAAGATTAAAACCCTACTGTATTAATGGAACATCTGTTGTACATCTTTACACAGATGTCCTCAAATAAACACACAGCTGAAGTTAATTTGAATTTTCAGCCACACAGCTGCAGCAGATGCTGGGAGCCCTTGAGCCTCAAACAGAAATCATCAAAAAAAAGTTTTTTTAATATGTTTAGACCATAGACTTAAATATAAATAACGCTAGACTGAGCCACGCCCATACTGTCCACTGGTGTCGTCTGTGACAGCATGGAGGAGCAGAAACAGACCAAACAGGACAACAGCTCACAGCAAACATAGAAACTAATAGATAAACAGCAGCTGAACTGGATCTGTTTCACAGATTATCTGTCGTGTTTTTACAATAAATTAATAATTATGTTAATTTCATTCAACAATCATGTAAAACAGCAGATTTATACCAGAAAAATATATAATTTATAAGTAACAATGATCTAAACCAGACCTGAAGTCAGCCTGTAACTTAGACTTTAGCTAGTTGAAAAATGATGACTTCAGCTAGTAATAAAGTATATTTATTATTTCTTCTTACTGTCATAAATAATAATAATATTTATATTTACCAGTCAGCAGTTAGAAAATGTTCTCTGGTTATAGGATGAAACTTGTCTCTATTAGCTAACATCTTCTTAACAGGTCAGGTTCCTCTAACAGAAACCTAAAAATACTCACATTTATAATATTATTTTACACTCTGTAGGTCTAAATATTAATCAGATACATTTATAATATTATTTTACACTCTGTAGGTCTAAATATTAATCAGATACATTTATAATATTATTTTACACTCTGTAGGTCTAAATATTAATCAGAGGACAAAGTAATATTTAATAGTTTGTTAAATTGTAACATGATTCAACAGAGCTAAACTCTGTTTAAATGCTCCACAAGCTAATATCTGCTAACCAGTTCAATAAATAACAGTGATTACATGGACTTTATAAGATTATTTTAATTTTAAACTGTTACATTATGTTCTGCTCAGATCACATTGAGCTAAATAAGATCAAATCTGCTGACTTGTTGTGAAATGAGACGTTTTCCTGTTTATATTCTGTTAATAAATCCATAACACAAACAGCTTTTCTGACATTATTTAAAACATTAGATATATTATATAAACTGTAAAATATTAATAATAATTGGGTTAATATTATTATTAATAGTTTTTTATGATTTCTACATGGTCAGTCCTTTTTTTCTACTCTGTTGTCAACATGTACAGTAATGGGAAATCCTGAGTTTTGCCTGTTTAGCGTTAGCTGTTAGCTTCACCAGCCGATCACACGATCACGTGGTTTTTGCGCACTCCAGCTGCTCTATAGGACCTCCTTGGTTTAGACCTACTATCCATCAGTACCTTGGATCCTTATGGATGCTTTCAATGGACGGGGTCCGGGTAATGACTCGGTCCACCAGGGCTGAGTGTCTGTGGGAGTAGACGGGCTCAGTGGACACCCTGATGGAGTCGACGTACGCAGCTGCAGAGTTCACCCCGAAGCTGCTTCTTTGGTACGGCAGCGTGCCGCAATGGCTTGTGGTCCGGGGAAGGGTTCCCATACCTGAGGATGCAACACAAGACAGCAGATGTGTAAGCTGGGTTTGTTTTGTCGAGTCTTCATAACGAGCACCAGGATCTAAATGGATCCAAAGAGAAAATAATGAATTCTTCAGTTATAAAACAGAAACTGAACCATTTAAAAGGTAGAGCAATAAGTGAAACCATTTTTCAATTATGACCAAAACTTTTACATGACTTTTCAGATAATTTTATTTGCAAATTAAAAAAAAAACATGAAAGGGTTCACTTTAATAGCTGCCTTCAGGGAACAAGAACACTTCCTGAGCCTGTATGCTACCTTTTTTAAAAAAAAAAAAAAAAGTTAAAATATATATTTTCTTTAGAGAAGCAAAACTGAGCTTGGTCTCAGAACCATAAGACAGGAGATCAGTGAGTGTGAACAAAGTATTTTTGTTAAACCCAAAACCTTTTATTGTACAATTCCAGATGCACAATCTGGAATTGCACGTGTCAGTTTGTCTGTCAGTAAAATTTATCATGACACAGTGGAGGTATTCTAATGACACTTTTGAACTAATTATTGGATGTGTTTGTACAACTGAACAAATTTTGGAGTCAGTCTAAATCAACATGGAGCTATTCAGGGTTAGCAAATACAAAACTGGCTCCAACTTAATCATATTTTTACAGATAGTAACTAGTAGCTGAGTCAACCCCATTATGAGAAGTAAAGGTAGTATCTCACTGGGCTGAGACAAAATAGTTGGCAAACAGCAGTCATGAGATTCTCCAGATTGCCTCACAGCGTCGATGCAGAAACCTCAAGAATTGCTACTTATTTATTTCATAGGGGTCTTTGTTGTTGTTGTTTTGATTTCAAATCAGCAAGGCTGTTTTTAGACATGATTAATGTTGAAAAGTCATAAAATCCCACAAAAAAATGTGGCACTTGTGTGTAGATTTTTTTTATTTTAAAGGGAAACAAAGCTATGGTTCATAGTATTATAGATTGGTTGTTCAAGATCAAAAGTTTGTGTCAGGTTTGTTTATGCAGAAAAGCATTTGAACAACAATGGTGGCATTTTATTTCAACTACTCCTCTTCAAGAAGCTGATTCTATAATGACGGAGGAGCAGTCAGAAAGTTTGTCCATCTCTACTGTTCCAAACACTTGTGAATGTAAAAACTACCAGATGGAATTAGCACAGACAATGTGTGCTGAGTAATCTGTCTGATGAAAAGTGTGGCACTCTATCAGTGACAGATTATTGGCTTAACAGTGGCTATAGAAATGGAGACTTGAACAGGAAAAAGGTGTTAATGGGTGTTTCCCAGGAGTTCTGCGCCGTGTGTCTCATGAACTATGAAAGGTGTGTGCGAAAACAAACATCCAACAAGACCGGGAGTCGACTGTTCACAGTATGCTGGGCCCTTAAGATATTGACATGCAGTACCTGTGTTTGTCCTGTAGAGTGAACTCTGGGGGTCCTGGGTGGGACTGTGGAATAGGGGGCTTTGGAAAGAGCGTTCATCAAATACGGGCGTCATGTGGCAGTCTGGAGATAAGGCCGCCCTCAGCTCTGGATCTATCTGTGCTCCATGGCTGGCGTATGAGCTGTGAAGTCCTGCAGGGGAACAAATCAACACCTAAAGGAAATGTATTTACATTAAAAAACTTTTTTTTCCTGAATGTATGGTATAGCAACTAGAAGGTCTGTGCTTTCAATGTTTTCTCCATGCATCCATGGATTCTCTCCAGGTTCTTCAGTTCAAACAGGATCAATGGATGGCAAAGGTACAGGTCATCCATCCATTATCTATACCCGCTTATTCCTTTCAGGGTCACTGGTAGCCTGGTTTAAACCAGACCCCTGTCCTTCACTTTGCTTCGTACAAGGGTCTGGACTTGCTGCATAGAGAAGTGTTTCTTGCAGGAGGCGTGGCCTCTGCTGAAGTTTAAAATGATTGGATCAGTTGGCTGCGACGTATGTCGCTGACTGTGACCATAGCTGTGACGGAGGCTAAGCTAAAAAGCTAACCGGAAAGCAAGCGCGCTGTAAACAACCCTACTGAGAGGAGAAATATACCGAGCCAAACGAGACGACTGTAAATGAGAGCTGCTGCTTTGTCAGATAAATTTATTTTAATTTGGAAGCCTTATCAACACAGACTGGCTTCATTCACTTCCTCCACTGAAGTATGCTAAAATAGACACTGCGCAGAACATCGACGACATTCAAAACTCCGCCTTCTGTTTGCTGATTGGCCCAGGTAAAATAAACTACAAGCAGACACTGCACAGAAAATTGTCGTTGTGTTCTCTGATTGGCCCGGCTAAAAATCTGCCAGTGAAATCCATCTCAATGGGAAAAGTCCCAGACAGAGCAGTGAAGGGAAACTAGAACTGAGCGGAGCTGCGTAGGAAGGCAAGGACCAGGCTAGGTCACTGGTGCCCATATCCAGTCGTCACAGTGCGAGGGGCGGGGTACACCCTGGACAGGTCCCAAGTCCATCACAGGGCCACACATAGAGACAAACTAGACAAACAACCATTCACTCTCTCACTCACACCTAGGGACAATTTAGAGTTATCATTTAACCTAAAAGTCATGCTTTTGGTGTGTGGGAGGAAGCCAGAGTACCAGGAGAAAACCCATGCATGCACGGAGAGAACTAGCAAACTCTACACAGAAAGGTCCCCGGGCTGGTGCTTGATCCAGCGACCTTCTTGCTGAGAGGCATCAGCTCTACCAACTGATCCATCGCAGCATTAAGACAATGAAGGGGGGGGGGGGGGGGGTCTAAATACTGGTGACTACTTGATGCTTGCAAAAACAGGTAAAAACATAAACAATGAATTTAGATCTACATCTAGTTATAATGCTCATTTGGAGGTAGTGCAAAAAAAATTCTACATGCAGAAAACAACCCTTGGTTTGGCTTATAAACTGCACCAGGACTATGGTCACTCTCAGCTTGCTGCAGGCATCGACATCAGCAAGTCAAACAAGCAGGAGGAAGAGGGTTTTCCTTCAATCTCACAGCAGATCAGCTCCAAGACTGCTCCAATTATAAAGAGGCTTCAAGGCATCGGGTAAGGGGCGGTGGGGTGGTGTGATTCAGTGGATCTAATTCAAGCAAAACCTTTCACCATAATGTTGCTGATGAAGGACACATTTGCTCACATTTGCTGTTTTTGTTTTTTATAACTTGTTATAGATTGAGAATGATAATGTGAGTTTTGAACACAAGTTGAATCTTTGTGTTGTTAACTGTTTTTTTTTTTTTGTGTGTGTGGCACAAATAGAATCTGTAAAAATCAACCTGGAGGATGTTAAAGCTGCTAAATATGTCAATTTACCAAAAGGAGCAAGGATTAAGGGCAAAGAAGCTGAGGTTTGAACCAAAATCATTTCTGCATCAACTGAGTAAAAGAGGAAACGGTTGCAGTTTAACCCCACGAGAACCAAATGTCTTCTGCTGTTTGCCCATGCACATCGGGCCAATACACATGTCATTAATGCAGCAGGATACATGAAGTTCTCATCTTTACAAAGCAGGATAGATTATCTTCTATTTCTTACACAGTATGCACAATTTAAAAAAAAAAGATTTTAATGTGGTCATAAATGAATAAAATGGTGCAGCAAAAGAGGTACTTTGTTCTAATAGTGGATATAAACTATTTATAATACCAGTTTGGTAAAATTAAAATCCTATACAAAAATGTAAGGGAACACTTGGCGTTAACCACTTGAGCACCCAATCAGCAACATGGTAAAATTGAGGCAAAAGTTAATAACTCATTGAATCTTCATGTTTGGAGACACAGAAACACCTCCACCAAACAATATCACCTTTTTGTTTCCATTGGTTGATTGTTTTGTACCAGTTGGTTATGAAATGGTTTCCACTTTTCACCCACGCACTTACAGTATCTACAAACCTGCATACATAATCTGCATGCACTTATGTACAGAGGCACTAGATCTGTGTTACTCTAAATAGGATCAAGTTATGCTTTTTGTCAGAGTAACATTGGTAACTGCAATGAACGTGATGTGACTACAACCACATTTTAGCTTTATATCTCTAAAATAATCCATGTAAAAAACCAAAGCACGAACCATACATGGATTTAAAATGGACTGAGTTATAGCCAATCTGCTAATGTTCACTAGCTGTGGTGGCTAATGTGAATTAGGTGGAAGGAAATTCAAAAATGTTGCAAAACAACAAATGCGAACAGGTCTTTTGAAAACCTCAAACTTAGCAAAATCTTTCCCACAAGAGCAAATAAAAAAACTGATCAGGAAGCTTTGACTGCTGACAGATCATCAGACATTACTATCTTTGCTACTACCTTTAATTGCCGACTTATGTACATCCATCTATAGCTTTCATTCCTCATGTAATCTGGGATTATCATGGATCTGCAGGATAATAAAAAATAAGTCCTCATGGAACATATTAGGCCACTTATAAAACCGCAGGCAGAAACACATATCCAGTCTCTGACATGCACAGTACCATCCATCTATGCATGAGTTACACAGTAGAGTGCTGTCAGCTGATAATCATGGGCTGATGCTTTGTGACAGAAACAAGCCTATATGGGTCAAAGAGAGCTGCTTTGTGATGTGACAGAGGGCAGGATGGAGTCTGTGTAGCTGCAGCATCAGCAGCAGGGAGAAAGTTGTTGATAACCGGTTAATAAGAGGAGGAGGAAGGACAAGTCTGGTTTAACGTTTGCAGAATAAAGACTTTTTCTTTCCCAAGATCGCCAAGGCTCCAGTGACAAAGTTAAATACAGCCGGTTCAAAGCTACAGTGGGAGCGTTTCTCTTTGGTGGGAAATTTACTCCAAAGACAGCTCAAAGACGTCTGTAAGCTGAGCTCAGTGAAGATTCTGGCAGCAGCACAGAAATAATCCCTTCTCAAGTTTCTCAGCCAGCTGCGGCTGTCTCAGCCAATCAGAGAGGCACAAAGTCAAAAGGTTGGATCTCCAGGGATGTTGATCAGCTCCTCATCACTATCTGAGAAAGTGTGGCAGTGAGTAAACTGATAAGTAAATGTAATAAAAACACTGTTCGGGGATGTATCGCTTTGATGCGATGGAGATGCTTCAACACTAATTACCTGTTTTCACTCTGATGCGAGTTAAAGATGATGTTGCCAAAGCAACAACTAATAAATGAAAAGTATGGCATTAAGCAAGCAGGCCAGGCTTTTACAGACTAGCATGAGAATGTTTTGCACCAGTATAAAGTACACAACTTCAATTATGGACCAAAGGAAAGCAACAAAAACAATCCACAGTTTTAAGATTTAAACATGGGAGTCACGTGGAGGCGGCTTCACACCGGCCAAGCTCCACGAGCCAAGGATCGACCAAATACAACTGTTTTGATTCTGTCACTGTCTGCCCAAATCTTGCCTCAGTTTAGTTTTATTATCTTATTTCATGTTCCAGTTTATCCTCATAGTCTTGTTCCCAGCCTTTCAGTTCACATCCAGCTCCTGCTCATTGATCTCGCCCCTCCCGTCATAGAAACTCTAATCAAGCTCATTTCACTCACCTGTCTCCAGCAGTATTTAACCCAGTCTCACTCTCCAGCTCATTGCCAGATCATCATCAGCCTCGCCTATGATCTTCCAGCATTCATGTCCCTTGTCCTGGTCTTGCCTCATGTCCTCGACCCTGCTCATGTCTCCTGGTTTAACGTCTCTTGCCTCAGCCCGTCGGATCCCGCCAGCCATCAGGGAGCAGGCGGGAGACAATAATCCAAGAGACAGAAAAAAAAGGTTGTTACTGTGAGAGCACAGTAACAACCTTTTTTTCTGTCTCTTGGATTATTGTCTCTCGCCTGCTCCCTGAACGGAACCGCGCCACATCGGACCTCCTGGATCTCGACCCCTGAACGCATCTCTGGACCAATGACTCAGTCATCTCCTTCTAACCTGGCAACGTCCTCTGATCACCTGTGTATGACCCTTGCCCCGTTTCTGACCACGAGTAAGTCCAGTGATCCATTCACTCTCCATGACAACACAGTCCAGAACCAAAACACATCAGCTGTTTCAACCTGGATCTCAACTCAGCAGGAAAGGTTGGTGACTTTCTTTTTCACAAATAATATTGTGTTCACGACCCAACCTAACCCTAAGCTTCTGTGTCCAGAACTGACGACCCCGGAGTCCGGTCCCAACCTTCCAGCCAAATTTTCTAACAATAAACTTGTTAAAACTTTGACGTTGTTCGGTGTTTACTCAGAACTCAAAATACAAACCATAACAACAACTCAACATCAAGAACTTTGAATTGCTCCTTTGACTCCTACCTGCACCTCCACTGTGTTAAGGTGGTGATTCCATGACAGGACGATTGCCACCAGTGTTTGAAAAAGTCATTGACCATTTTACCAGGAAGAGTATTTTTGCCTAAAATGCCTTTCCTCACAGCCTCCATCCCACCTGATTTAAGCTCATTAGCTGTAAATTTGACATTTTGTCTTAAGGTTGATTAGCAGTGGTGGCCATCATGGCTTGGAATGAGAACAGTAAGTATTAGTGCAGCTGTGGCTGAGTGGTTAGAGCAGCCCCCTCCAATGAGAGAGCTGGGGGTTCAATTCCAACAATTTTCTGCAGAGGTATATAGTAACTACCGTATTTATTCATGTATAATACAACCCCCCCCCCCCACACACACACACACACACACTTTTTTGAGCTTAAAAAGCATAAAATTTTAATCCTCAAACTACCTCCAATTTGATGCAGACTTCACAATTTTTCAGCCTTTGCAGTCTTTATACATATCAGTAAAATGATCATTGGACTGTTCATTTTATTTTAACAACATTTGTACTAAAAGTTATTTTGACAACAAATATACACTCACCGGCCACTTTATTAGGTACACCACGCTAGTAACGGGTTGGACCCCCTTTTGCCTTCAGAACTGCCTCAATTCTTCGTGGCATAGATTCAACAAGGTGCTGGAAGCATTCCTCAGAGATTTTGGTCCATATTGACATGATGGCATCACACAGTTGCCGCAGATTTGTCGGCTGCACATCCATGATGCGAATCTCCCGTTCCACCACATCCCAAAGATGCTCTATTGGATTGAGATCTGGTGACTGTGGAGGCCATTTGAGTACAGTGAACTCATTGTCATGTTCAAGAAACCAGTCTGAGATGATTCCAGCTTTATGACATGGCGCATTATCCTGTTGAAAGTAGCCATCAGATGTTGGGTACATTGTGGTCATAAAGGGATGGACATGGTCAGCAACAATACTCAGGTAGGCTGTGGCGTTGCAACGATGCTCAATTGGTACCAAGGGGCCCAAAGAGTGCCAAGAAAAGATTCCCCACACCATGACACCACCACCACCAGCCTGAACCGTTGATACAAGACAGGATGGATCCATGCTTTCATGTTGTTGACGCCAAATTCTGACCCTACCATCCGAATGTCGCAGCAGAAATCGAGACTCATCAGACCAGGCAACGTTTTTCCAATCTTCTCTTGTCCAATTTCGATGAGCTTGTGCAAATTGTAGCCTCAGTTTCCTGTTCTTAGCTGAAAGGAGTGGCACCCAGTGTGGTCTTCTGCTGCTGAAGCCCATCTGCCTCAAAGTTCGACGTACTGTGCATTCAGAGATGCTCTTCTGCCTACCTTGGTTGTAACGGGTGGTTATTTGAGTCACTGTTGCCTTTCTATCAGCTCGAACCAGTCTGCCCATTCTCCTCTGACCTCTGGCATCAACAAGGCATTTCCGCCCACAGGACTGCCGCTCACTGGATGTTTTTTCTTTTTCGGACCATTCTCTGTAAACCCTAGAGATGGTTGTGCGTGAAAATCCCAGTAGATCAGCAGTTTCTGAAATACTCAGACCAGCCCTTCTGGCACCAACAACCATGCCACGTTCAAAGGCACTCAAATCACCTTTCTTCCCCATACTGATGCTCGGTTTGAACTGCAGGAGATTGTCTTGACCATGTCTACATGCCTAAATGCACTGAGTTGCCGCCATGTGATTGGCTGATTAGAAATTAAGTGTTAACGAGCAGTTGGACAGGTGTACCTAATAAAGTGGCCGGTGAGTGTAGATCAGCTGTAGCAGCATCATATGAATTCTGGCATTTTACACATAGTCCACCAGGATGCGCCAACACAAAAGTCAGAGACTTCACATAAGATTTGGGTCTTCTTCTGGGGGAAAAGCAGATTACTTCCTACTCGTGAGCCCCCCCTCTGGTGGGAAAACATTTTTTCAGGGATACAAACTTTTTCAGAACGCCGGTAGACGGCAGCCATTACAGACGACTATGTTGTTGTTGTTCCAGGAGCAGCTCGGTCACACGCTAATGTCAGTAGTTCGCTATCAGGTGCAGGAATACTTTTCCCCCCATTTTTTCACATCATGTTGCCTGCCTTGATCTGTTATTATCTCGCTCTGAAGCACGGAGGAGTGTCACAGGTAAGCTCGTTTCAACTGCTTTTTAAGACGCGATCTCATTTCCGGACTCAATAATTTTGTGAATGAAGCCGATATTTCAGTTAAAATACAAAAGTAAAAATATTTATCAGAGTATAATACTACCCCCCAACTTTATGGATGATTTTAAAGATTAAATTTTATGTATTATACTTGAATAAATACGGTAAGTACATTTACTACATTACAGTACTTAAGTAACTTGGAGGACTTGCAGTTTTACCAAGTATTTTTTCGTAACCTTTACTTTTATTTTGTTACATTCAAAACATAAAAATGACACTTTTACTTCTTTACTATAAAATTTAACACCTAGTTACACATTACAAATTTAAATTTGACCAGAACTCATCATGAAATGTCAACAGGGTCCACTAAACCGAGTTGAGCAAGTGTAAAGCAATTTACTCAACTTGGTTTAATGGAATAAATTGGGTTAAGTAAATTCAGCACTTCCTTTCCTAGAGTGTGTGTAAAAGTACTTGTACTTTTGTTTTCCTGATTCTTGTGAGACTTTTCACAATTTGTACTTAAGTACTTTTCTTATCAGTGAAATCATTTTCTGCCTAAGTCATTTTCTGTTAAGGTATTTTTATTTTGTTGTTTCTTTTAAGTGCTTTATACACCTGTGCTATTCAGCCACATGTCAAAGTGTATCTGGGCAAGACATTGAACCACTGCCTCTGATGAGTGTCTCATCAGTGTATGAATGTGGTCTAAAGCAGGGGTTCTTAACCTTTTTGACCTCAGTGCCAAATTTATTGTACATAAAGTGGCGTGAGGCCCAGTCAGACATTACCAATGTATGGATCAAAATGATAATTATTCTAAATCATGGTTTAATTTTTATTGTAATTTCATTTTAACTAAATTAAATACACTTACATTTTAAAAGTAAAACTCCTGTAAAATAACCACAAAACGTGATTATGACAAACATTTTTGTATTGTAAATGCCCATAACAATTATTTGAACAAATACAAAAGTCAGTCAACAGACCACTCAGGCTTATCAACACAAAAATATTTTTAACAAAAATACACAATTCAAAAAATAAAATTGTGGACATAAAATAATTAAATTAAAAATGTTTAATGTAAATGTTTCAAGTTAAAAAAAACTGTAAAAATAAATTTGATAAAGTACAAATGAAAGTAATGTTGTTAAACTGGTAAAAACAGAAGCTGCACTTCATATTAGTGACAAACTTTGGTGTTTTCTGACAATTTACTTTCAATTTTGCTTTTTCTTTTCATTTAAAATAAGTTTCCATTCTCTGCAGGTTTCTAAGGTTCTTCTTCTACATATTAAAAAAAATTGTTAAACATTTGAGTGGTGCACTACCGCTCCTAGTGGTGAGAAAGTGTATTGCAACTTATTCAAAATCAATGCGGTCCCGTGGCCCTCTGCGGCCCAAAGTTAAAAACTGTTGTTCTTTTGAGGCCCTCAAGGTGGCGCTCGCGGCCTAAGAATCTCAGATCTAAAGCACTGATTAATCTCTATAGAATGATTTATACAGCTTAGCTTCATAGAGGAATATAGTAGAGTGCTGAATGAATGTCTGTGTTGATGGGGAAATGAGGGCACAAACTGTGTTGTAAAGTGCTCTGAGTATGCTGTTGGACAGAAAGATGCTATATGAGTACAGCTCATTTACCACTTAATGTGATACATTGTGTCTTGCAATAAAGCTCCAAAATACTGGAATATTAGTTTTCAGGTCATATTGCACAGCTTTAAATTGATATTATCTTTTGCCAGAAATCAATGAATGTGAAAATAGTGAAACTTGGAGCTTTTGATGGGGGATTTAAGGTGTTTTAATAGAAATAGAAAGCAGCAGGAGTTTCTGGTCCAATCAAATCTTTTCAGACAGAAGAACATTTGAGCAGATGTTGGACTGACCTATGAGGCTGTCCGGGCGCGGCAGAGCACTCCTTTGGTATAGGCCGTACGGATCAGCACCATACGCCAGCGAATGGCTCTGCCTGGGCAGCGTGGAGCCGTAGTGCTGCGGCACCGCCGTCATCCCTGAACGCAGCGGAGACCCCGTCAAAGCCCTCCCCTCAATCAAAGAGAGGGTAGAGCCCAGTCGTCCCAGTCCTCCTCCTCCTAAACTCCCCAGGGCCTGGGTGGCGTCACTCGGGGAGGTTGGTGATGGACAGGACGGCGGCATGGTGGTGCCAGGGAAGATGGCCGCCAGCGATTTGGGCTCAGACAAAATGGGCGAGTCATACGTACTACCTTGTGACGTTCGCATCGAGATACGAGACGGTGAGATGGTTCCAGTGGTGCCACAGCCAGGTGACTGGCTCCTGGAAGGTAGGGAGGCCATCCTCCGTAACACCCGGCTGGATGCCTGAGAAGGATTAGGAAAATAAGAAAATACAAATTAGTCTTCCAGATACATTTAATTTGCTAATAAAAGACCAGCTACAGTATTAGCTGGATCTAGCTTGTTTAGGATTTAAAGATTCAGTAATATGCTCGAAAGCAGATATATTATTTAAAAAAACAATCAAATTTGAAAGACTCAACTTGACCTTCATAAATCACTTAAACCTATTCTGTCATTTTTCACTAAACAGGAACTACAACCTAGAAAATTGTCTAGAATAGTCACTTGACAATAGTGATGATTTGTGAATTCCTGCAGCTACGGTCAGAAATTTTGATCCACTCATCACTGGCATGAACGTATTTTTTATTTGTCATTTTTAATAATTTATCTGAACAACTTTTTTTCCCCAGGATAGAATAATTAAACAACATACCACTTAAATGACAACAAGAACTGGTTGCATGAGTTTAAATAGATTGTGGATTTTATCTAATCTACATTAAGGTAAAATTGAATATAGATGCTAAAATACTAGATCACACACTATTACTAAATTAAATGTCTTTTAGCGAATGACACCTGGATCACAAACTTTTTGTATCCATCAACAAGCTTCTGGAAGATTTGCAGCTGACAGTTGACCTCTTCTCTTTTTGGCAGAGTTGGTAGAGTTCATTTAAATTTGTTGGTCCTACCTGACTTTTAACCGTAGTGTATAAACTTTTATTTTTTTATTGGTTTTAGTGTTTTTAATTGTTGTTTCATGTTTTTTTATGTTTTGATTTTATACATGTACAGCACTTTGTGGCAGCTGTGGTTGTTTTAAAGTGCTTTATAAATAAAGTTGAGATGAGTTGAGTTTAATTTATGTTGAGGTTGTTGCTTTGTGTAATCCACTCCCCAAGCTTAATGTTAGCCTGATTTATCCTATTAGAAGCCAGTTCTGGGATCACTGTCTTATGAAAGACCTGACTGTGTCCAAATTTCAACCATCTAGATCAGGGGTGTCCAAACATTTTGCCACATGGGCCAAAATCATAAAGTCAGAAGAACCCGAGGGCCAAAAATATTTTTCTTTTACCCGTTCAACAATAAACTAAGCATTGAAAACTTTAATTAAACAAATAAAGTAGTCAGATTTATTGCTGGAAATGGATGCGTAAATTAATCTAGATTAATTAATTTGCAGGTTTCCCTTACAGAATTTTTTTTTTTTTTGTAATTTTCTAGGTTTCAATTGGGGGACAAATAACCCAATTTAGTCAATTCTGATCAATAAAATCAGAATTTAGGTCACTCTTTTGTTGAAAATGCTTGCTGTATTTAGACAAATTAAAAAAATTAAAAGCATGATTGGAGCGCAGCAAAATCAGCTTTTCAGTTGAAGTCACCAGATAGATGTGGAAAAAGCTACCAGACTGGTTATTTAAAGACAATTAATTGGTATTGTTGCCAAAAATTTTTATTGTAAGGTTTTACTTTGTGATAAATTTGCCCTAATAATAAACAGAAAGTCTCCATCTACATCAAACAACTGTGTGCTGGGAGGATACATTTGAAGAAATTTATAGTTATTTATAGATTAGTACTGGTGTTAGAAAACAACACCAGAGTATTAGGGTTTCCTTTTTATAATATTTGTATAATGTTTGATCTATTATGTGTTAATTGAAATAGAGTAGCTACATGTCCGAATCATAACAACACATAAGTGAACTGTTTTAAACCATTAGATTGAGGTCTTTGTCTGAATGCCTGTGATTCAGCYGTAGGTCAGTAGGGGGCGAACTCAGGCATTGAAGAATCRTGTATAAAAACCATGCATTTCCTGTCTTTCATTCAGTGTGGTTTGGCTTGTCAGTCCGGTGACAAATAAACCTCACTCAGATCCAGAATTCTGGTGTTGTATGACATTTATTCCTATCACAGGTCAATTTATTTAACACTTGTGTTTTCATCTGACTTCAGCCAATATTAAACACGTATTTCTTACACATTTGTAAACAAATTTGTATAATTCTTGAAATGAAGTCAGGGGCCACACAATCAGCCGCAAATGCCCCCCGGGCCACACTTTGGACATCCCTGATCTAGATGTTGATTTGTGGTGAAGATGAAGGATTTGGAACTAGCTGTGTGCACCAGTCCCACAGCATAAATCTAACACTGCCATGCTTGACAGTTGGCACAGTGGTTTTAGGTTTGAAACCCTCACATTTACTTCTTGTCATTGTGGACAAATAACTTGTTCTTGTTCTTTTTACAGCAATGAGAAACCGTCTTGTTCATGTGGATAGAGCATGACGCTGTGACTTTTGGAGCAGGAGCTTCTTTCTTGGCTGCCATGGTGAAGTAAAACTGGCTTCACTGTGGACAGATGCTGGTGGTCCAGCAGGTTACACTTTATAACAAGGTGATTCCTGGGTTGTTTCTGAACTTCTGAACCAACTGAGGCTGACAGATGAGTGTTGTTCAAACCAATGAGTGCTGTCAAACAAATTACTTTTAAGCTGGCAAAGAGAAAGCACCAGCTGCAGTCATCTATCCATCCATTATTTCCCAATTATTCCAAGTTGGGTTGTGGAGGAAGCAGCTTGAGCAGGGAGACCCAGACCTCTCTTTCAATAGCCACCTCAAAAACTCATTCTTTCAGTCACTACCCAAAGTTCATGGTCATAGAGGAGGGTAGGAACGTAGACTGACTGGTAAACAGAGAGCTTTTCCCTTACAGCTCAGCTCCCTCTTCACCACATCAGACTAGCACAGAGTCCGCAGTACTGTGGACGCCACACCGATCCGTCTGTCAACCTCACATTCCAGCTGCAGTCAGTCATGATAAGAACTGGTAATAAGCCTTTAACATTCTTGAACCTTCAGCACCAATAATAAATATCAACTTCCTGTAACATCTAAAACTAATTAAAACCTAATTGCAAAAATCATGAAAGTTTAATGCTGCATAATCTTTACCTTGGGAAAAGAACAGTTCAAATAAAGCACTGAAAGACATGAGTTCGCAAAAGTTCGAAGTGAGCGAAATAGAAAATCGCAAATTTGACCTTTGACCCAAAATGGCCGACTTCCTGTTGGTTTTAGGGCATACCTCCAAGAGATTTTTAAGTTGATTTGGGGAGATTTACCTATGTCTCGAATTTCAGCTCTCTAGGACTTACCGGTTCCTCTATCTCACATTAGGTGGCACTGTCGAGTCATTTGGCCACGCCCATTAAAGAGTATTCATGCTTGTGATGACTGTATGGATACTTTTGACCACAACCATATAGCTAAATCAGTTATTTGAGGTTTTTTGAACAATTTTTCTAAATAAATTTTGACAGTTTCTTATCAATTTTCCATCCAGTTTTAAAGACTAACAGATTATAAACCTAAATTTATACTAGGCTCAAAACAACACATTAAGGATTTTACAAATAATCTACATTCCTGAATAATTACCTGAAATGTGAACATTAGGATCATCACGCTGAATCTATTACATTTAAAAGTGTTCTAAATATTGTGACGCAGCATTTCATTATTTCTAATAAATAGCATCATTATCTTTTTCAATTGTTTCGAAAATCTTTATTCCAGAGTTTGAGCTCGCTGTGGTAAAACTTCACAAACTCATTATCGCAAAATGTGAAAAATCCCCATCAATTACAAACTCAGACAAGTTGCAATCTGTGTCACATTAATCCATCAAAATCATGAATGCTTAACAGAAAAAGTGCCGGGCGTGGAGGAAAAAAGATCCAAACGGGGTTCAGCGTTATCTGTCATTCCTGTTTCAGCTGTCATGTAAAATGCTTATAATTATCGGCCACAGCAAAAGGATCTCACAATGTGGGACTGAAAAATGTGAAGGCAGGAGAAGCTTTGATTTGGAGGTATTATGTGATGCTCATGACAATAATTATTGAACCTCTGGTACCTGCTGTCACTATAGGAATGACAATTATTGCTAGCAACTAAAAGATTTTTCAGACAGCAATCAAAACAACAATGAAGAATATATTTAAATCTTAAGGGGCTTATAAATAAAAGTTGTGGTAAAGTTTTTGATTTTTATGTTCTATTGTTATTGCCTCTATGGTTTTGCTGTTCAAATTAGTGTTTTTTTTTTTCCACCTAAGGGCTTTTTGTCCAAATAACCGGCTCAAAGTTTATTAGTGTAATAATTATGTAACAAATGCAGACGAAAACTTAGAAACTGCTTCTGCAACTGTTTTCCAGAGTCAAGGAGAAACTCTGAATCCCAAACTATACAATTAAATCTAAAGAACAACTGGTTTTGGTAACTGGTTATGGAGAGAATAACAGATGAGGTTGGGCAGATCTTGCGATCTGTAATGAGAGCAGGGGGTAAATGGAAGAGAACTTGGAGAGGTGGAGGAATGAAATTAAATGAAGAGGTTGGAAAGTCAGCTGTAGCAAAGCAGTGTACGTGTGTGAATAAAATGGAGGCAGGTTGGAACAGTGAGGCTACAGGGAGCAGAGGTCACAAAGGTGCAAAACGTCAAGTGCTTAGGCTTGACTGTCCAGGAAGTGGGGTAAGGAGGTGAAGAAGAGAGTTCAGGCAGGATGGGAGGAAGGTTTCTGGGGTGATTTGAGGCTAAAGGGGTGGCAGTTAGAGAGGACGTGGAGGTACAGTAGTTGGAATGAGGACAAAGGGCGCAAAAGACAGAGTTAGATGGATGAGAGCACTTCCTGTGGCAATCCCTGAAGAGGAAACAGCCAAAAGAAAAAGTAGACCTTCATAAAAATGTAGTAGTTTAATCTTGTTGGTGTTAATTTTATGATCTTGTTGATAATTTTGTAGTTTAATCTTCTAGATGAAAGTGTAGCTGACTGTTTTTTTCCTCTTTAGTTACTTTCTAGCCTCATGCATGCAGTGTGAACTGAACAAGTAGCTGATGTACAGTAATGGGTCATTGGTTTAGATGCATGAGTTATTAACTGGGTCAGATAGTCTTTTCTTTTCCTGCTGCTGGCCATTGGTTGCCTGTGGTTCAGATATGGAATATATAAAAAATTGTTTTGATGCAAGACAACCCTAAAAGTTACTTTGTGGTAATATTTCTTGTGCATGTGGTTTAAAAGTCAGGAAACTTTAAAACTTTGATCCTTTTTAAAAAGATTTCATGAAAGTAATTGCATATTTGTTTGAGTGTGTCTGTGTCTGTTTATTTTACAGTTGTGTTAGTAAAATATCTCATGAGCCAGTGTAATCATTACATCATCTACAACTGAGTATTTTTTAATTAGTCAAATTCAGGTAATTGTTAGTTACTGAGTTACTCGTTAAAACAACAGTCAACCTTAGAAAACACAAAAATGGTAATAAATTACTCACTTTCACAGATAATGAACTGAAATTTGGTGTGTTAGTAGCTGAAAGTTATTCTCAACACAGACTCTGAGCATTATTATTAGCTTTAAGGGACCTGCATAGTCCATCAAAAGCTGCCAAATCGGCTCTCATTCATGTAGTTGGGTTACAAAAATTTCTTTTTTTTTTCCACAGAGCACCTTCATCCGCCCTTTCTCAACACAAGGCCCAGGACAAATTTTTACTCACAGGCAAATGGACTGAGTACTGTTTGACTGGTCAGAAGTTCAAGGGTGTGTTTGGTTACACAAAAAGCGCTCAGACAACAATGGTAGCATTTTGATTCAACAACTCTCCTTTCTAGAAGCCGGCTGTTGTGAGCCCAAAGAACATTGATAATTCTGAGGAGCAGATGTCAGCGGCAGTCAGAACATACGGCCATCCATATGACTCTTCCAAACACTTATGGTTTGGTTTGGTAAATGGGGATGGATAAAAAACCCATATGAGCAGGTTCCTCATAAGTGGGCCCATTGCTCTCCCAAAATTGACACTGAACTTTACTTAAACCTTTACATTTCTCAGATGAAGGAATCAATGTCTGAAACACTAAGTGTGATCCCCAGGATCCATAAAGGGCTCCACAAGGATTCTTTTCCTTTGACCGCTCAGAGCCAGGAAGTGGCCTAAGTAGTGCAAAGAGGTCTCTAATTTAATGCCACAGGCATCACACAGACCATTTTGTGGTGGTTGAGCAGATTGTGCCCAGTTAGGACTCCAACCAGTGTACTTAGAGTTGTCCTTGTCAGGGTGACGAGAGCTTTCTCAAACCTAAGATTTGTGCCATTAATCAGTTCCCGTGCCTGTCTACAGTCTGTCAGCTCCCTCCAGCGGATTGAGTGTTGACGTCTGATCCAGGCCTGTAAGGCAGTCCTACAGACTGTTGTTGAAATACCTACAACAGGCTCTGGTCCATTGAAGCGAGCCTGACTGCCAGCTTTTGCAAGGTAGTCAGCTCTTTGGTTACCATTGATGCCAGTATGTCCTGGTACCCATTTAACAGTAACAGTGTTGTCTCTCTCCTGTTGGTTGACTGCTTCGGCACACTCCCAATGCTGTGAAACGTGGCCTTTGGAGAGCTCTTTGGGAAATGCCACACACTGGTGGATTGCATATATTTCAGCTTGAGATACGGTTGCAAAACAACCTAGTGGGTATTTATGCTCTCTCTCACTATGGTTGTGCAAAATCAGCACCCCTGCACCTACTGACCCCTTCAGAAGGGATCCATCTGTAAAACAGTAGAAATGATTGGGAGACAAGTCTGTCATAGAGAGGTTAATCCAGGCAGACCTGTCTTCTAACTCTGTCTTAAAACTTGGCTCAAAATTGTATTTTTTGACCATTCTGTCTCCAGGTCCTGCAGTTACTGGAACAGCAGCAACTGCCCAGTCCCAGATTTTAGTATGCTGTGAGTCAGAAAAGTTTTTCCACCTACCAGACTGGCGTAGCCTTACTGCACTGGATGCAGCCCCCCCTAAGATATGTAAATCTAGTGGAGCCAGGTCCAGTAGGACTTCCATGGCTGCCATGAGTTTTGTTCTGATAGAACCTGTGATGCCCAGGCAGCCCATTCGTTGCATATAATTGAGCATCACTCTTGCCACCCCAACTTGCACTGAATAGTTAGACAGTTAGTGGAACAATACAGCCGCTGTATGAACGGAGGAATCCGTCTGCCGAAAAGAGCGGCGCTCTATCCGTAACAGATTTGTGGCATAACGGCGAATATTGGTATGGAGACCCCAGGGGGAAGAAACCCATGCTGTGACGTGTACAGCAGTGGAAGGGGTTTCCCAGGTGCTCTGCACTGTATGTATCCTGATCTTTGAAAGGTGTGTGCAAAAATTAATGTCCCGCAACCTCGTGACCGGAAGTCAACTGTTCGGCTACATACTGTATAGAGTATGCTGAGCCCTTTAGTTAGTTTAAAGGGGCAATATTATATGTTTCTCAGGCATTTATTTAAATACTATACCATAATAAAGTATCTATATATTTAAATACTATACCATAATAAAGTATCTATATATTTAAATACTATACCATAATAAAGTATCTATGTCACCTTTAGCTGTTATTAAAATGCTGTTTTTATGTTTAAACAGAAAATAAACTTATCTTCTCATCACTTCCTCTTCTAAACACCTTGAAATTGGCCTCTGTCTCTTTAAGAACCACCTTCCGCTTCTGTCCCGCCCATTTCAGTGTGCGCGGGGGTGGGGTGGAGGGGTGCTATGATACAGTTTACTTGGCATCTGAAAATATATTTCCTCAAAGGTATTTTTTATCTGAAAAGAGCTTCACTGAGTGAGAAGTAGTGGAGCTCAGCAGACATTTTTTTCACTTTGTTTCACTCGTTTGCTTTGTTACCGCCGAGAGCCTGCAGGAGTCATGGGCGGGGTTTGTGGGAAGGGAAGGGGGAGGGGGGCGCTCTGCCATGAGGAAGCACGGCTTAAAGACACGTCCCGGGGGCGTTTCTGGTCCCCAACTATCGTTTTGCTCCTCAGCATGGCTTCCTAAAAACGGTGCAGGATTTCTCAAACATGCATGAATGAGTCAAAGCAAGGCTTTGGTCATGTTTTTTATGAGAGTATAACATTATAACATGATGTAAAACTCAAAAAAGTTGATTTTACATGATATTGCCCCTTTAAGCTTTAAATTGAGATCAACTTATGTTAAGAAATGACAAATTCATAGCCGTTACAAATGTAGACATATGAAGGATCTGTTAGCACTTGCAATGTGTGTTGGGGATGACTCTCGACTACTACCACATCCAACTTTTGCTCAATATCTGAAATTAATGTAACTGATAGCTTTTTTGTGTTTGCTATGGTTGATTAGCGATGGCAGCCATCATCAATTCACCCGACTACTTTCTGAAAAGATTAGTCCTACCTGCCCAGAGGCTTGACCTTCTGCCCTAGGGCTTCTTGATACTGAGGCCCGGGGCTCCGAACGCACCACATTCTGGTTGCTGTAGTAACTAACACTGCTGTCTTGGTAGCCGCTGTCTGAATACGAGGTCATGTGAGCCGAGTGACCTGTGGAGCCTTAAAAACAACAAGAGGTAAGGTGTCAGTGCTTCATGTTGACATCAAACTGCAGCCACCACTTCAGTCGCAGCAGTAAAATAATTTGCACTTTGTAAAACGGCATCATGCACACAAACACATGGATATGTGAGCGAAGCTTTTTATGCTTCTCTTGGAACAATCAGCTGGCCTACTTTCTGTAGGATGAGGAGGAGGAGGAAGCATGTGGGGGATATTTTTATTCTCTGAGACCACTCCAACTGTATGGAATACAAATAAGCCAAAGGCAAATTTGTTTTAATATTTCAAAACCGCTGCTCAGACCGTGGATGTTGACTCATGCTGAAATCAAACACCTTAAATAAATAATGTCTGAGGTTAATTGCTCTTCAGAATTTTTAGGATATGTTGTGTGGCAGAAATGTAGACACAACATGTGTATTTTTTGATGAGAGTATCCTGCAGAAATAATAATTCACAGCCACACCAGCTGCTCCAGTGTTTCGCTCTATCAGCCGCCCATCTTTGGCAGTTTAACACATTCCTCTTGATGGAAGCAAAATGTCAAACACTCCAGTGAAGGGGCCTAACGTCCAACAGTGACTGGTTGTAGCTGCAGTACAGTTCTCCAGGTGTGAAAGTATGTGGAACTTTTACAGCTAAAAATAAAGGCTCAGGCAACAGGGAGGAGACTTTACGTTCTGAGCCTATATGGGTGATCTGAATAAATGGAAAGCAGATGTTTTAAGTTGGAAACTTCTTTGAAAACAGGGGCATCACTGGATTTCTTTAACTTGATTTATGGAAATATACAAGTGTGAAAATTATTCAAAGGGAATTTTTTGTGGTTTAAAACTTGTTTTTTTTTTCATCTCATCTTCTGAGCCAACTACTCAAAACGAATGTATTTATGCATGGATAATGCATTCTCAATTATAATGTGACCCGAAAAATCAAAAAGAAAAAAATTGTATAGGTCTTCTGGATGGGTTCTTCTCTAATGAAACGTTTCGTCTCTCCTCCAAGAGACTTCTTCAGTCTGAGAGTTTCAGGCAAAATTCAGGCTTTTAAGCACTGCCTCCATGTGACTGATACTCACATCACATGGCTATCGTTGACACCTAATTAACATCTATTGTAAACAGGGGGTGGAGTGATACTGCCAATAGCAGCGCTGTAGGAGGGGGACAGCTGAAAGCGGAGGCCTCCACCTCTGTTTAATGATGGACGGTCTTTCTTCACAAAAATGGCTTCTTTTACTCCTCTCTCAAACCAACGTTCCTCTCTATCAAGAATGAGAACATCCTCATCTCTGAAAGAGTGACCGCTGGCCTGTAAATGAGTGAAAACTGCAGAGTTCTGGCCATTAGATGTAGCTCGTCTGTGTTATGGAGAATTTTTGTGTTACATTTTTCACATTATACACGCACAAATACGGTAGCTATAAAAATCTGATTTCATAAATTTCTACACCCTGTACAGTTTGTCTCTTTGTGCTGCTTATAGATAACAGACCCTCACTGTCATGCAGGGAGGCCCGGTCCACTTCAGGCAGGTAGAGCCCTTCCTCTGCCTCCAGGTGACGACCTGGACACCCAGACGCCTCCGTGGCAAGACCCTGAGACTCTCCACCTGTCATACAACACAGGAAATGCAAAGTCTTTTTCAGTCTCGCAGTAATCGGTGTATTAGGACACTTGACAAATAAAAAAAGGTCATTCAATTAGATGTCACAAAGACATGACGAGCACAATATTTTGCAGGGTTAGACCCTTTTATCTCCAACAATACTTTTATTTTCCTGAGCACATGGCAGTGATTAATGAGCCGACATCTGAACACAAAGATGTTTGACAGAATAGTAAATGAGCCCATTCACAGCAGTGGAAACATTGTTTTGTTTTGCTTGACCAGCTGGCGCAGTGTGCCAGCAAGTTTCTTCTGGAGGCTATGATGACTTTCTCATCTGCAGAAACAGTTCTCCTTTAGCTGCAAATGTATACAGGTTTGATCTTATCTGAAGCTACAGGAGTTTACAAAGAACCAGAGGCATCAGATCCCTTACTGGACATCAGTCAAAGCCTAAAACTGAAACATTTTCTTTTACAATACATTTAAATCCCAGCTCAAAAGAAGAGTTTTTACCAGCAGATCTCCATGCGTAAGACTTCTCAGAAGAGCTTTGGGAACAGTCAGGACAAGGAAATGGAAAAGACAAAGAGTAGAGTGATTTAAATCAGAGCAATATACTTAATGGTCAATCAAACCAGGACAAGAGCAAGACATATAACCATACGTTAATTTGCATTAAATAAAATGTACAAAAATGTCTTGAAGCCTTTAAGAAAACTGTCCTCTGAAAATATTTTTGTCTTACAATATAAACCAAAACATGTTTTATTTTAAACATAAATAAAAATGGGGCCGCACAATACATTGCAAATACAATGTCATTGCAATATCAATGTGCACAATATACGTAATGCAAAGGACTGCTTAGAGTGCAGTAAGTGTGGACTAATATGTTTTTGAAGCATTTTGAAGTTGTTTTTCATGCTAATGCAATATTTAGCCAGTAGGAGAGAGTCTCATGGCACCAACAGCTCACACCACACAAACACAAACACAGACACAAATGGCCATGCCAAAAATGCTAAAGGTCACATAGTGTAGGAAGTACATTAGAAAGGGAGGAAAGAAAAACAAAAGATATATTGCACCTGACATCATAATCTCAATCATTACAAATATTCTCACCAACGCAAAATTGTCTAATACTGCCCAGCACTAAAAAAAAAGGACACAAATTGTATTTTTTTGGTAAAAATTGCAGAGTGAGCATGAAGTGCTAAAATACTTTGCTGCAGTGGTAATCCTTTTTTTTTAATTGGGTGGCCATGTGGGGTCACTGAACGTTCTGGGGTGGCACTCAAACTGCTACCTAAAAATTAAAAGTAGATAAAGGCTAGCTAAAAGACACCAAAGGTTCATAAAAGTTTAAAAAAATTGAAAACCATGTATCATTTTCCTTTCACTTCACAATTACGCTCTGATATGGGTTTGTCCATAAAATAGAAGTTTTCAAAATGTGGAAGAGTTTACAAGTTGTGCATCCTTTTTGAAGGTACTTTTATTTACTCATAGTTAATAACTTAACTGGACTTAACTCTCATCACCCTATACAAATAAACATGCTTTATTGCTGGTTGTTTCCAATCTACCTGCTACTGTCTCCAGTTGGTGACTCAGCTCCCAGCATGCATTTCTCCAGCTGGCTCGCCACAATCTGCCGCTCTTCCTCCAACTCTCGAGTCAGCCTCTCGAACTGGAGCTCCTGCAGACAATACAGACATGAAGAGTTGCAATCATGACCGAACATTCACCAAAGAGCACTTTCAGCCTCTTTTTACCACCTGTTAGCTGCCAGTTAAAAGTAAATGTAGATACAAGTTGTGTGTTCAGTCTGATAGGTCAGGTGTGAGTTTGGCAACAAACAATTTCACAGTTTAAACATTAAAACTGAGTGCTGGACCAACCCAAGGTTTGATACCGAGACTGAAATTATGGTAAAAAAAAAAAAAACCAATTATATTTTCTGCTAAAATGCAGGAAATGATAGAAATTAACATGCGCCCTTGATTTACTGTAGAAATCTGTTTAAGCTCAAATTAAACAACACATTCTCACTCCCGAGTCGTCACATATTGACRTTTTTCAAAGGTCCCTTTGCGTCCAATTTTGACGCATCAGGTACCCCCCTCGCGTCAGTCCTTGCCGCCCGCGGCTTTTCCGGGTTGCGCCACCAGGGGTCTTTGGGTCGGGGGTCTGAGGTTAACATTAGGGATCAGGATAAATGGTTAAGTTTAGGGACTGGGGTCAGGGATAGGATGTCTACAGTGAACATTAGGTAATTTTAGGCTTTGCAACACGTAGTTGCCATGAATTTCCTACATTTTCTAAAAATGGTTAATTTTACGTATCAGGGTTAATGGTTAATTTTAGGTACTAGGGTCTGGGACAGGATGTCTAAAGTGAATACACGTAATTTCACGCTTTGGGACGGTACTATTTGTGCATTTTCTACACTTTGAAAAATTACGACAACAGATTCCGCCCCATCCCGTCAAAATATGACGCAAGGGGGGTACCTGATGCGTCAAAATTGGACGCAAAGGGACCTTTGAAAAACGTCAATATGTGACGACTCGGGAGTGAGAATGGGTTGAATTAAAATGTCAAATATAAAATAAGCAAAAGAAAAGCTGAAAAAATCAAAAAAGTTGGTAAAAGCTAAAAATACCTAAACTGTGGATAAAATCTAAAATTAGCCAGACAGTAGCCACAAGGGAAACAATAAAGGTTTAAATTAAACAATACAACTTATACAACACTTTAAACAACACAAATGCTGCACACTAATAAAATAAATTGAAAAAAGTAGGATAGCTCAACTCTCCAATAGAGATAGGGTGAGAAGTTCAGTTAAAAATCTTTTACTTTTAATATTATTTCTTTATTATATATTTCATATTTAGTCACAGTACTTTCTTATTTTATAGTCAATTTAAATGTTCTCGAACCATTTATACATGTCCAACACATGGTGTGACAGTATATTTACATGGGTATTTACATACATATACACAGTATATAGAATAGTTAATTCATGTATTAAGCATGAATAAACAATGAGCATGTTGTTTTTTTAAGTTAATAAAAATTATTAAAGGGAGTCATCCGGCAACCGGTAGGTTACCAGTTTGATCCCCCGTTCCAGCCATCGCAGTCGTTGTGTCCTTGGGCAAGACTCTGTCAGCTGGTTACAATGTAACTTACCATCATCAGTGTGTGAATGGATGAATGTCTGAAGTGTAAAGCGCCTCGGAGTCCGTGTGGACTTCATAAAGCGCTTTATAAGTTCAAGTCATTTACCATTTAATAAATAGAAATTATCCTTCATTAATGATGTTTTTAAGGTTAACTAGCTGTTAATGGTTAAGTAAGGCTAAAAACATGTACAAGGTGTAACCAAATCTTTTTACGTCAGCATAAGTTGTCTAAAAGGTTACAGTGTGACAGAGCTCAAAGCTCAAACTGCATGACCCATCAATACGAGCTGCAGTTAAACCTGCATTTTTAATGGGTGTTGATCCTGGTGAAGCAGCTGATTGTTCTAATTGGACAGATGTTCGTCTACTTACAGAGCTCCTGTGACTCACAGGCAGTGAACTACTGTGAAATTTAAAAAAAATTGTTTGTTAGTTTGGTTTTACTTCCATAAAAAACATACACTATATTGCCAAAAGTATTGGCTCACTTGCCTTGACTCACATATGAGCTTAAGTGATGTCCCATTCCTAATCCATAGGGTTCAATATGACATTGGTCCACCCTCTGCAGCTAGAACAGCTTCAACTCTTATAAGGCTGTCTACAAGGTTTAGGAGTGTGTTTTTGGGGATTTTAGACCATTCTTCCAGAAGAGCATTTGTGAGGTCACATACTGGTGTTGGACGAGGTCTCCACTCTAATTCATCCCAAAGGTGTTCTATCAGGTTTATGTCAGGACTCCGTACAGGCCAACCAAGTTAATCCACACCAGACTCTGACATCCATGTCTTTCTACAACTGAATTTCCCCGTGCGGAACAATAAAGGCTGTTTCTATTCTATTCTATTTACGGACCTTGCTTTGTGCACTGGTGCACAGTCATTTGAGGTGAGTAAATACTCTTGGCAATATAGTGTACTTGCAGTCGTTATTGACAGTTGAAATTTTTATTCCTAAAATACCAAAACATTTCTGAAGTTTGTAAACTTTTCTTTGCGATGTATAGCTGCCATCAAATGTAAATCGACCGTATGTTCTTCACAAACATGTTGTCTTTTGTCCTATTTTTTTCTCCCACCACCTAAAAAGGGGGATGATTGTGTAAAGTGTCGTTTGTTGCATGTGTGTTTATAAGTTTGGTAGCAAAATATTTTGTTGAACCACTGGATGTATTTTAGGGAATATTTCAGAGTAATAATTGATGAATGAACATCTACAGCTATTTAACTTTTGGAAACCACTAGATCAACTTTATAATAAAGGATTGCTAATGGCTACAACTTAATAGTATAATATTACAGATAGTGCGGTAGTAGCTGAGTTTATGTTTACACTGCAGGCAAAAATGGCTAAAATCCATTCTTTTCCACACATCTAACCTGTATAAAAAATTATGACTTTCTGAACATGACAAATCATACAGTATATCTAATCCACGTCCTTTGATAGTAAATCACTTACAGGGGTAAGACACTGAAACTGAAACACCTGGTTTTAGACCATAACATCCCTTTCAGACAGCTTCCTCTTGCATCCACAGTTAATCCTGTTGGATGTGGTTGGTCCTTCTTGGTGGTATGCAGACATTACCCTGGATACTGTGGCTCTTGATACATCACAAAGACTTGCTGTCTTGGTCACAGATGTACCAGCAAGACGCGAACCAACAATGTGTCCTCGTTTAACACCATAATGTTGTGTCCATTGCAATATTTTGAGGCTGGTCCAATTTAGCCATGAAACCTCCCACACTAAAATGACAGGTGTTTCAGTTTCATTGTCTAACCCTTATACAAATGTTTTTCAAATGGACTGCAGTCTGAACATTCATGTTGCATTTTATTTAACTTTTATGTTATTGAGGTAGGGGTATACGGATCAATCCAAATATTTATGTTCTCAATACCATGCAGCTTAAAGCTTGGAACTCCACTCATCTTTAGCTACAAAATGGGAGTCCAGGTTCTTATTTAAACTTCAGCAGCAAGATCAAATGTGCATAATGAACCAATAAACAGAGCAGATGATAGTGCTATAATACATAATAGTACAACAACCTTACAATTGATACACACATGCTAATGTATAGCATCCATATTTACATTTACAGCGACTATGAGCACTAACAAATCACAGGAAACCTCTTTACAATTTTTGCATGTGAGAGGTATGAACCAAAATCCTCATTCTGTTTAATTCTGTTGAGTTTTTGACACATAAACCAATGAGAGATGTGTTTCTGATTAGGACTTTTTTTAATTGGAAGATGCCAGTCTTTAGATTTCAAAGCAGCTATTGGCTGATGTACAACACCCTTTTTTATTTTATTTTATTGTTTTTATTTTTAGAAAAACCTAATTTTAGCTCAATATTTGTAAAATTAACTAAGTTTAATTGGTTGTCTAATTTTAGTTGTTGATTAGCTGTGGTGGCTGTTTTCACTTGGATTGACTCCAACAGTAAATTAATTGTAGATGAACAGGGGTTAGACAATGGGCCTCATGCAAGAACCATTCATACACACAGATTTGTTCTTAAGTTGTGCGTACGAGTGATTTAGGAGAATTTGTGGCATTCACCAATATTATTTTCAGATACGAACAAAATTCACGAGTGGTCCAGACCTGTCGTATATTTTACGAGCAGTCAGTCTGCTGTTATCCAGACGGGTTTTCTTCAATAATAACTTTATATTTCATTAGTTTGAAGATATTTTGAGTTGGAAATAAATTACACTCTATGATTATGTTGACAATAAGTTATTCTGCTTGAATTAGAGTTATAATTTTAAATGTAATAATTTAGACTAACAATATAAATTGTCCGTCCGTCCGTTTTCTGTCGGGATCAGGTCGCGGGGGCAGCAGCAGAAAGACCCCGCTCTCCCCAGCGACACCCTCCATGTCCTGGAGGACTCCGAGACGTTCCCAGGCCAGAGGGGATACATAATCCCTCCAGCGAGTCCTGGATTTTCTCCAAAGTGCCAGACTTATTTTGAAAACATTTTAAAATGCTTATTTCAGAACCACAACTGAGACCACTTGCGACCGTGCAGGGGTGGGGGGGGGCGGGGGGCACGGTGCGCTGCGCTGTGTCTTCTGAATAAATGAAAATGATTTAACACAGTTGTTTATACTTTTAGCAGCTCTTTTTATTCCACAGCTGACCTGCTAAAAATGACAGATTTTCTTTTCTGGATCTCTGACAGACGGACTTCAATCTCTGAACTCGTAAAGTTCTTCTTTTTAGTTTTCGCTGTCATTTTCATGAATGGACACTTCCTGATATCTGAGGCAGGAAACACAGCCTTATATGGTGTTTTTGGGGTGGTAATTATGCTAATCTCCTCTCGCGTGCACGAGCAGCTGGATAGAACAGGTGGAATTTACGCAGCTCATTTATGCACTTTTCCTGAAGATAGAAGAGTTTGTTGAATCTGACGTGACATGTTCGTATGAACCCTTCATACGAACAAAAGGAAGAGAAATTTAGGATAAAAATACGA